ACTCTAAGGTGCCCCTTCACCCTAGTCACACTCTTTCTCATTATCACATTTTATTTTCTGAAACACTACTGAAATTATTTGTTTATTGCCCTATCTCCTCCTCCACCTTTGAAAACTTAATTCCATAAGAGTAACGACCTTTTGTGTCTTATTTACAGTTGTAAATCTAGAATCTTGAACAGTGTTTGTCCCATGGTAGATGTTCTAAACGAACCTTTCGAATGCCTTTTTATCCACTTACATATTTTTATTGCTCTCCCCCATCTAGTTAATTAACACATCCATCGCCTCACATATTTTTCTTCTTCTTCTTCCTCTTTGGTGAGAACATTTAAGTTCCACTTTCTTAGCAAATATCAATTATACAATATAGTGTTATCAATTATAGTCACCATGTTATACATTAAATTCTCACTTATTCATCTTATAACTGAAAGTTTGTGCACTTTTACCATGTTATACCATATACCATACATTATTGCTTTAATATCATAGAGATCACATGGTACCCACCTCTTACTCTGTCTTTTAAACATCTTTACCAAAAACAGTATTTTGACCTAAGTCCTGGGAATGGATATAGGGAAAATGTTTGTGAATCATTGAAGGGTGTGTAAAAGAAAATTTGATTCTAAAGAAATAATCTTCTAGGCATGTTTGAGCCATATTAAAGCTAGTATTCTAGGTGCAGAATGCATTATCTTTGTAAAACCAAGTGACAAAGCTATTGATTTGATTCTTAAATTCGTACTTGAATGCTTTTCATACTGGCATATTGCCAATCTGTTGTGTAGGGTTTTTCTTAGAATGTGTTCGTATATTTAAATCACAAAATGCAATTATTGTGCCTTATCATTTGGGGAAAAGATGTGCATACCTAAAGCCTGATGGGAAACATAAGAACTCTTAAAGCAATTTTCTGCAACCAACATGCCATTGCCACACATTCCCAGCTTCATTATTACTGGGAAAAATTTTTCTTTTCTTTTTTAATTTAAAATATTTTTTGGCATCTTCTACACTCAGATAGCTGTATTTAGTTATTGTGCAATGTGAATCTTCACTATAATCTGGTGCTAGCTCACATCATCAAGGTCATTGGGTTCTGACATTAGATTGGTCTTTAGTTGAGAGGGTCTAATAGTAAGGTGTAGATCCACTGACAAAACACACGAGGGATCCACTAGAGGGCAGCAAAGTGCAAACCAAATTTAAATTTGCCCCAGAAAGGCTGATGTTGTAAAAGATGTGTTGTAAATAATACGTCTTAAATGCAAAAAATTCAAATTAGTTCAGTGATGTAAAATAATTTATGTACAAATGTTTCTCCTTTCCTGGAAGTAGTAGTCCAAAGACTCATTAGGTTGAAGAGCAAAGTGAGAATAGAATTGGTTCTAGTCTCAGCTCTTTTACTAATTGTGTGATTTGGGGCAATCTACAATTTGCCTTTCTGGTCCTCTTCTATGATATATGAATTTGCACGAAATGATTATTGAATTTCTTTTCAACTCTAAAATTCCATGGATTTATTTTGATATATTATATGAATATAATAGATATATTGAATATAATTATATATCATAAAATGTATTATATGAATTATATTTCAGTCATTTAAAAATCTTGTTGGGGGCTGGCCTGGTGGCGCAGCGGTCAAGTGTGCGCGCTCCACTTCAGCGGCCTGGGGTTCACAGGTTTGGATCCCACCGACTCACTGCTTGTCAAGCCATGATGTGGCAGTGTCCCATTGAAAGTAGAGGAAGATGGACACGGATGTTAGCCCAGGGCCAATCTTCCTCAGCAAAAAAGGAGGAGGACTGGCACCAGATGTTAACTCAGGGTTGATCTTCCTCACACACACACACACACACAAAAAATCTTGATTAGGCTCTTACATTATTTGATCAACCATAACTTGACATTAGTGGATATTCTGTTTGGAAATACCCACCATTATTTCATGGAAAATTTAGGTCCCTGAAATGTGTTGATTTACTTTGTTAACAAAATGATCATTCTGGGCCGGCCCTGTGGCGTAGCGGTTAAGTGCATGCGCTCTGCTGCTGGCGGCCGGGATTTGGATCCCGGGCGCCCAGCCAGGCACCACTTGTCAGGCCATGCTGTGGCGGTGTCCCATATAAATGGGAGGAAGATAGGCACAGATGTTAGCCCAGGGCCAGTCTTCCTCAGCAAAAAGAGGAAGGATTGGCATGGATGTTAGCTCAGAGCTGATCTTCCTCACACACACAAAAAAATAATAAAATAAAATGATCATTCTGCCCCCAAACTATTATTTGTATATAATCTAGTGACAATAATGATTGCAATGTTTTCTGGAATAAGGTTTTACTATTTAAACCATCAATGCAATCTGTTTTTATTTAAAAAAAAAAAAAACAGAAAAATAAAACCCCACAATGATCTTATATATAGGCAAGTTGTTTTCACTCTCCATTTATTTTCCTTTTAAAGTACTACATATGTGAACTCAGTATTAGTTACATTACCAAAATTCTAAAATCATTAAGGTTATACATTAAAAAAATAATTGTTGGCCGAAAGACCAAGGAAACGGTGACTTAGAGTAGATAGAAGAGCATGTTACAGATCTGAACCGATTTTTATTTATATTTTATATCATTCATTATTCACATTTGTTCAATGACTGTCATTGTAAATACAATAACCCATTTTCAGCTTTTGCCTGAGCTGTCACTAAAACTGAAACTCTTTTCTAAATAGCATTTTTCATGAGCACCAATGGATAAAACTGTCAACAGTTTAGTGACAGCAGAAATCATTTCTGAACCCAGACTGATAATGTGGTCATATTTAACACCACACCACATATTTAAATATTTTCAACCCTCATTTAGGGCACATTTTCCTCCTATACGCATAAGAAAGGAAGAAATATGCCTGGTTGGCAGTGAATGTGAGGGATGAAGGAAAAATCATCCTTTAAAACATAGTAAACCTATTATTATCAGAAGCCAGAGGTAGAACAATGTTACAGGTAGACTCTTGACTCCCTGCCCTGGCACATTAGCTCACCTGCTGCCAATAAGGCTGACACCCCTTTTTCTACGACTCTGAGGCTTGTTAGCTTCCTCTTCAGCCTTAGACTCAGCTCATCTCAGTGCCTGAAGTCATTAGCAAGAGATAAATTACTCCTTTCAACCAATTTGCTTTTCCACTAGAGGGTGAGGACTGTGAGGAGACCCCAACCTCAGTCAACAATTTCAAACATAAGTTGCCGTTTCACAACAGTAGTGAGATGAGCCCTTCAGACACTGTATAACTTATGTAACAAGTAAAATACTGATTGCCTAGGTGCAAATCCTGACTCTGCTCTTCATTCTGTGCCTCAAGATCCTCATCTGCAAAATGAGATCGCTGTGCCAAATTTTTAAGGGTGGTTTTAAGAATCACAAGTTAATACTTGTGAAACTATTATAATTATTATTTAAGCTTAGAACATTAAAATGTTTTCAATTTCTCCAATGCTTTTCCAGCAAAATGCAGCCAAGAGTATCAGACTGGATTCCTACTAATATTCACAGTTGACCTTGGACAAGTCACTTCACCTCCTTTGGCCTCACTGTCTTATCCAGGGTCTTAAGCAACCCTTCGTAAGTAATAAATATTCTAAGATGGTCTTAATGAATGTTGTGGAATAAGCAAACTTCATAATGAGGAAATTAGAGCAATTAGATCGCCCAGACCCTCTAGTTTTAACACTTCATGTGACTCATTATCTCCCAATAGGACTGTGGGGAACAAATGAAACGCAGTTGGCTATCTACACTGGGAAACACTACTGCAGAACACCGTACCATTTGCTGAAAAGAGTTTTGAAGTTATCTATACAAAATATTACATCTTTTGCTGTGATAATTAATCCAGTATCATCTCTGCCAATATTGGACTGAAAGGCCTGAAAGAATAAATACACCTTTATTTTCTACAAAGCGGCTGTCCGTGTCCTAGAGTCCCCAGCGGGCAGAAGGCGCCCCGACGGGAGGGCCTGGGGCTGCGCGCCCTCAGAGCAGCAGCAGGGGGCCCAGCAGCAGCTCGCCCTGGCCCAGCAGGCGGCCCCGCTCCAGGCCGTGGCCCTTGTTCTCGGCCTTGACGCGCACGGCCAGGCGGCGCAGCTCGTCCTCCGAGAGCCCGTCGAGGCAGAAGTCCTGGTCGAAGGCGGCCTTGCGGCTCCGCCGGACCACGGCGCTGCGCTGCTGGCGCGTCTTGCCCGGCGGCTGCAGGACGAAGCTGACGCGGCAGCCGACGGCGCGGGGCTCGGCGGCTCCTCCGGCCAGGCCCTCGGCGCGGAGCAGCCGGACGCGGAGGCG